AGCCTCACAGACGGGGAGGGAGAAGGAGGAGGAGGAGGAGGGAGGCCTCCCGGGTGAGCCTCACATGAAATGTTGTTTTCTAGCAGCCACGGAAAAAGCCAAACAGCCCTGGCGGGTTGCTCAGCGGTTAGTGTCAGCCGAGCACTGAAGGGTCTCGGGCTCAATTCCCAGCCAAGGGCACGTACTTTGGCTGCGGGTTCAATTCTGGCCTGGCTTGGGGTCGTGCAGGAGGCAACCAATTGCTGTGTCTCTCTCACATCCACGTTTCTCCCCCCTCCCCCTCCCTCCTTCCACTCTGCCTAAAAATCACTGGAAAAATATCCGCGGGTGAGAATTAACCAAAAAAAAAAAAAAAAGTCCAAAGAATCCAGTGAGATTAATGTTACAAATATATTGTATTTAACCTTGAATTTCCCCAAATTATCATGTAAATATGTAAGCAATATAAACATATTCATGAAATGCTTTGCTCTCTTTTTCCTACTAAATCTACAAATTGCTACCCCCATGTTCATAGCAGCACTATGTACAATAGCTAAGATCTGGAAACAGCCCAAGTGTCCATCAGTAGACGAATGGATAACAAAGCAGTGGTACATATACACAATGGAGTACTATGCAGCTGTAAGAAAGAAAGATCTCTTATCCTTTGAGACGACATGGAGGGACTTGGAAAGTATTGTCCTAAGTGAAACAAGCCAAACAGAGAAAGACAAATACCACATGATCTCACTTAATTGTGAAATATAATGAACATAACAGTCTGAGGAATAGGGTAGTCCCAGAAACATGGAAGTAGGGTACAGACTGACAACCGATAGAAGAGGGGGTGGGGGGGGAGGGAGGAGAAAAACCACAGAACTTATATGCATGTACGCATAACCAACGGACATGGACAACAAAGCCGGGGACAGGGTGGGGGGATGGGGAGGAGGGTGTCAATGGAGTAAAAAAGGAGAAACATCTGTAACAAAAATAACATTAAAAATAAAATAATAAAATAAAAATAAATCTACAAACTTCAGTGCGTGTGCTGCTCTCGGCCTGGATCGGCCCCCAGACCGCCAGGGGCCCCACGTGTTGGCCCGCAGGGCACAGAGCAGTGGCTTCCTGTGCGCAGGTGTCAATGGTGACACCCCTCACAGGGCTGGGTGAGAGGGTGCGAAGTGGTGAAATGCCGTCACGGTTTGCCACTCAGCCAGCCGCTGACCCTTAGTCCCGGTCACCTCGGAGTCCGCTGAGGTCCGTTGCCTCTGCGTTTGTCCCGCCCCAGGACAATCCCGCCTGTCCCAGCCAGCCTGCCTCTAGACCCTCGCCAGCCTCCACACTCTGACCATTTGTCTGCTCACCAAAATATGCACGCGGTAAAGCTGTTACTGTTGGCGGTAGTTTCAGATTTGCTGCCCATCTCTGCTCTTGGCATTGGGAAGAGGAGACCGTTGCACACGTCCTATGAGCACTTGGCAGCAGCACCCGCAGAATTAGTCTCCAGGTCACTGCCTTGGTTCCCTTCCCCCTCTATTGAGGCCGCTCCTCCTACACACCCAGCTCTGCTCCAGGCCCCGGCACCACAAGGAACAGACTTGGCCTCATGAAGATGATAGGCCTGAGGGAAGACAGGCCCTAGGCAGAGAAACCCTTACGGTTAATAGTGCTCTTCTCTGCTCCTGTCCCGGTGCCCAGGAAGACAGGAGCTTCCTGAGGACAAAAACGTCAGATCCATCACTGCATCCCGGGTACAGGGCATGGGACCCAGCACGGAGCCCCTCACGGTGTGGTGGCTGATTGAATGAACGGACGGATTGGATGGAATTGAATGAATTCATGATTGAGCTGTTGAAGACTGATGACTGGATGGATGGATGGATGGATGGATGGGTTGGTGGGTGGATGGGCGGATGGGCGGGTGGGCGGGTGGGTGGGTGGGTGGATGGATGGGTGGGTGGGTGGGTGGGTGGGTGGGTGGGTGGATGGATGGATGGATGGGTGGATGGGTGGATGGATGAATGAATGAATGAATGAATGATGAATGGATGGAGTGGATCCAACGACCGCTACAATGTACAGCTCTCACAGGAATGAATGCGTAGTTTGGAGCGAACTGAATAATGGCTACACCAAAACCCGTGCTGTTAGTCTGTAACTTTGCAGATCACTCACGGGAAGCCCCTGTTCAGGGTCGCTCCTGTTTGGGCCGTGGAGTCGCCCTTAGGTCTGTCCTGCGTGCGGCAGGATTGCTAGTTCTCCGGTTCCTATGCCACCTCCCGAGTCGACCCGAGCGCACGCTATTCCGCCTTGCTGTGCTCTGCTCCTGACTGAGGCAATCGTAGGGGACTCTGTTCCATCTGTCACCAGAACAGAGCGGGCCCTCCTCAGCGTACAGCTGTATTTACCAAACGGATTCCCTGCAGACGCCGGAGCATGAATCCCACACGTCTCCAGGCACTTGGAGGAGGCTGGCTAGAGCGAAACGCGGGTTTCTGTCATGACGCCGTGGTGGACACGGGCTGGCCTGCATCGGTTTCCCTTTCTGTTGGTTACGACCCCCCAGTTTTCCTCCAGCGGCCGGACTCCTTTCCTTGGGGGAGTGGGGGAGTATCTAACTCAGCTCCCAAAGGCCAGACCGGTCCTGCATTCATGCCCCAGACAGTCCGCCGGGCTCCACTCTGGGCTACAGTGACTGTGTGCGGGGGGCGGGGCCCATGTGAGCTTCAGGCTACATCCAGGCTGCCAGGCCCCAGCCCCCCGCCCCCATCTGAGGGCTCACACAGCTCCGAGACTTGCGGAGAGCGGTCCTGGGCTGGCGGCATCACCTCGTCTCTCAGACGCCTTCCCTCCTCTGCCCTGCTCCAAGCCCTGGGAGACTAGCTGCAGGCGGGCCCCTCCGCGGGCTGGCTTTCAGCAGGGTCAGGCCAAGGGGAGGCCAGAGGGGAGGGGGAGGAAGCAGGGGTGTCTCTCCTGCTCCCCACAGACCAGCCCCCTTCCCACCCCCACCCCGTCTGTCAGCTGGCATCCCGCCTGCACCCCGAGCCTCAGGACCCCTCCTCCACCTCCCTCGTCTCTTCAGTGAGAACCGTCCCCTGCCAGGACCCGACACCCAAGTCTGCTGAGACAGGGCTCGCAGCAAGAAAGGACGACCTGGACCCTGACCTCCGGCCCTTGAGTCGGGCGTGAGGTCGATCTGCTCTGCTCCCGGCGTCAGGGCTGCCTGTTGCCCATGACTACCTCATCCTCCCTGATTCAGAGCCAGGCCAGTGGTAGTGAAACCAGGTTCCGGGGGCAGAGGTCAGCGTGGAGGCTGAAGGTCTGATTCTGCCCGGAGCCCTGCTGGTTCATTAACCGGGCACCTGTTCCGGGGATCCGCCCCTCAGGAGTGTCCCTGCCACTCCCAGAACCATCCCCTGGGAGCAGAAGCTCTTCACAGTCTAGGGTCCGCTCTGCCAGGATCAAGAACCGGCCTGAGCCAAGGCGGGCGGGGGCACGGTGCCAGCGAGGGTCTGAAGGTGGACTTGCTTCCCAGGGCCAGCGCTGAGGACTCTGGAATGACAGCTGGGTGCTCACCGACCCCGAGCCGCCCTCTGGACGTTGCCTCTCGGCTGGGCCTGGGACGCTGTGCCTGACTCTGGTCAGCGCCACCTCTGGCCAGTACGCGACCCTGGCTGCGCTGACGCCTCCCTCTCTCCTCTTCTCCACCTCGGCCCGCGGCCTCTCTGGCCCGCAGCTGAGGGCCAGCCGGCCCCGTGGCTGTGCCTCCGGGATCTCAGCATCCTGAATGCTCTCATCAGTAAAAAGGGGGTGTCTTTACCCTATGAGGGTCAAATGAAGTCACTTACAGAAAGTCCATGGCCAGTGCCTACAGGACAGGTCACCTTCACTTAGCCTCTGGGCATAGATTTACTCATCTGTAAAATGGGCCTAGTCATCAACGCACCATCTTTCCTGCAGCCTGGCGACATTCCATTCTTCAGATCTGACCATGCCCCCACGCAGTCCCCCAGTGCCTCACCTTAGCTCACAAGACCCTCCTTTATCGAGACCCTCACAACCAGACAAAACCACAGCCCTCGCTGGCCACATGGCTTATTATAGTTCATCGACTGTGTCGTGCTGTCTCTTAATCCCACGTCATCACCCATCCTGCAGCTCATGCTTATCCTTCCACACCATCTAAATGCCACCTCCTCCAGGGAGCCCTCCATCCTTTCAGGTTCACGTCCCATAAAATCCACAGCAGGAGCTGCCTGTGAGGTCCTGCGGCACCCCAATGGAAGTCAGCCATGCAGTATCACATTCCTCTGTGTGTTTTCTCTCTGCCACCTAGACTGTGACCAGCCCTAGGGACCATGGGCTCTGCTTGCCCCCCAGTCTCTCTCCCTCTCCCCACCCCAGCCACAATCCATCTCAGACAACGAGCTCAGAGACCTGGGTTATCGCACAGGGCACCAGCTCAACTGCCTTGGCCCCTGGGGGAGCAGCACGGACCATGTCAAAGCGGCCGACGTGGGGTCTCCGGGCACAGTCCCCGAGCCTGTGTGGCCCATGTCCTTACGTGATCTCTCATCGGGAAAAGGACCCGCCCCTCCACCTGCTGTGTGCAGAGGCTCGGCCAGCCCTCTCCACAGCCCTGGGAGGGGGGCAGGTGTTTTCCTGGTGCTGGGAGACCCTGAACTGTCTCTGTGCCTCTCAGGGAGGGGCGGTGGGTTAGACCCAGCCCTCTCCAGTCGCCTTCCTGCTTCTGCAGCCCTGGACATGAGAGGACAGGCCACGCCCCTGGGGACAGGCACCTGCTGTGTAGTGCCAGGGGGCTTCTTACAGGCAGAGCCTGGAGGTGGGGGGGGGGACAGGCCCCTGCTGTCACATAGCTGAGGCCTCACCAGCCCGGGCCACGCGGCTCTGCTCAAGGAACCCGGCTCGGAGCCCGCGCCCAGGGAGGCGGCCAGCACTCCACCCCGCCCGCGCCCAGGGGGGCGGCCAGCACACCACCCCGCCCGCGGACTCACTCTCGCACAGGCGGCGCCGCAGCTTGCCCCGGATCTTGTCGATGGCGTCGAAGTCGGACACGTGGAAGACGTGGGCGGACTTGGGCTCCGACGCGATCTCCTCCAGCTCCTCCCTGAGCGCCGCCCCCACGCCCACCGCGAAGACGCGGATGCCGGCCCGGTGGGCGGCGGCCGCAGCCTCCAGCACCAGGTCCTGGCTGCGGCCGTCGGTCAGCAGGATGGCCACCTGCTTGAAGGCGCGGTTCCCCGGGCGGCCGCCGGCCAGCGGGGAGAAGCTGTGGCGGGTGATGTACCGCAGGGCGTCGCCCGTGTTGGTGTGGCCGCCCTGGTAGGCCAGGGACCGCGCGGCCGCCTTCACTGCCTCCCTGGAGTCGAAGTGGCCGAGCTCGAAGGCTGTGGTGGGCTGGTCGCTGTAGTGCACGACCCCCACGCGAGTGTGGTCCGGGCCCACCTCGAAGGTGTCCACCAGGTTGGCCACCCACTGCTGGACCTTCTCAAAGTCCTCCTTGCCCACGCTGGAGGACGTGTCCAGCAGGAAGACCAGATCATACTGGACACTTTTGCAACCTGCAGGGGTGAGAAAGGGGAAGGAGGGTCATCGAGTTGTGGGAAGAGACTGCCCTCGGGGGCTGGAGGTGTGGCGGCTGCGTCACACCACCTGCCTCAAAACCCACCCGGTCCGGCTCCCGCTGGCGGGGCACTGTCCCACTGCCAGAAAGCTCAGACCTCCGCTCCTAACTGTCCCCAAGGTTGCCCAGGGCTCAGCTGACCGTGTATAACCCTAGTGGACACCATGGAACACCACTGTGTCAGCTCCTTGGACCATGTGGTTACCGGTGACTTCAGTATTTTTTAAACCTGCTACAAGAAAAGAAGATGGCCAGTTCAGAAAAGTCCGGAAGGGCAATCACAAGAGGTTTGAAACGCTCATGTTCCCACCTACACACCGATAGCCACTGTTAACCAGGTGAGTGTACTTGATTATTTTCCACTTATTTCCATATAGTTACTGATGGGAGGGGACTGTACCAGACATGCTGGTGGATCAGCCGTCTGCCCTGCGTCCTGCAATGTGCTGGGAACCCATTTCAGGGTGATAAACCCGGTTTCCATGGCTACAGAGAGCCCACCGCCAGGGCGAGCGTAGTTTATTTAGCTTGTGCGCTTTTCTTGGCTATTTAAATGGTTTACTGCCTTCACATATTTTAAATACAAATTTGTAGAATTCTCTGATGCTTTATAAAAATATGCTGACATTTTATAGTAAGTATACAAATACCAATTTTATAGAACCTATCCAATGCTTTTGATTACACAGAACACAGCGTATAGAATTTATTTCTGGCCTTTGCAGCAACGAGAGCAGAGAGTTTGCTCATCCCCATTTTCAATCAGGTAATTCGAGGAGAGAGAGGTGTTTCCGGAACCCCACAGTGCCGCACGAACATACAAGGGCGCCATCAAGAAGCCCAGGCTGGCCCTGGCCAGTTTGGCTCAGCGGTTAGAGCGTTGGCCCACGGACCAAAGAGTCACAGGTTCACTTTCGGTCAAGGGCACGTACCTCGGTTGCAGTTTGATCCCCAGCCCTGGTTGGGGTTGTGAGGGAGGCAACCAGTCAGGGTTCTCTCTCTCTCTCTCTCCCCCTTCCACTCTATCTGAAAATCAATGGAAAAATATCCTCAGGTGAGAATTAAAAAACAAAAACAAAACAAGAAGCCCAGTCTTGACACTTCGAGACCTGGGGCTGGGTCATGCAGCAGCGGACCAGGCCTCTGGGGACACCAGGCCCTAACACTGGCTAGTAAAAACAAAATAAACACACACACACACCCCATTTTGTTACACTATCAGATTGCTCAAAGTCACAAAGACCAACGTAGCCAGTGAGAATGTGAAGAGAATGCGTGTGTCCCCTGAACAGGTGGCTATGGCATTTGTCACTCCCAATCTCAGGGTCTTCAAAGCCTTATAGACCTGTTGATCCACCAGTTCCAAATGCAGCGATCCAAGAAACAATCAGAGGAACGGAAGGGGTGGGGGGACAGATCAGGACGCTCACAGCAACGCTGTCAAGTAAAGCCTGGGGCCACCTGCAGGACCACCTGTGTGGTGCAGCCTGAATAAAAGTCACCTGTGGCCATTCGGTGGGAAGCCAGGCAGCCAGGACGGGGATGGCCACAAAGAATCCTTATCGCCAACATGGATACATTGTTCCAGTGTATCACTGGGTGTGAAGAACTGTGCCTCTGCGTGTGGGACTGTGTGCCATGCCCCTGAGAGAGCTGCAAGAAACATTGTTGCCTCTGGCAAGCAGAACCCCGAGTGAATTACATGATTTTGTATTTCTAATTTTATATCGATCAGCAATGAATGAAGTTCCAAACTCAGAATGGCAACAGAGCGGGATGTGCTCCCCCACGCACACAGGCGCGCACGCGCACAGACACGCCGCCGTCCCAGCCTGGGCGGCGCCCTTCTTGACTATCTCCACATCTACCCTTCGGTCCAGCTTCTGCAGTCCAAGTGCTGGTCTGCCGGTCGGGAGCTGACGTTATCGCTGTGCTCCCAGGACTGATCCCTAACAAGGTGAGAATTTCTGGTGTGTGTGTCCAGATGTGTAGACTCAGAGATACTTCCTGGGGAGGTTTTTTCCTCGACACAAAAGGCCGTCCGTTTGTCTGTGGGACTGCAATGCCCCAGTCTGTTCAGGATGATTGATTGCTGCTGCGGGCCAGGCAGGGCCCAGACGCGGGCTGTGACCCTTGAGCAAATTTGTTTTGATATGCAGAAAGTTTCCTTGTTCAAAAGGCCTCCCCAAGGGGCCCTTGGAGCTCTTCCCATATTTTCTCCTGGAAGCCAGCGAACAGGTTGGATTGTAGCCCCTGAGAGTTAAGTGTGAGGTCTGGGCAAGGGCCCTGACCTGGGCTGGTGCCCCGGCCTCTGGCCTCTGCTACCCAGAGGAACAGGCCGGGCGACCCCATCAGGTCACCCATCTCCCTAGAGCCTGACTTTCTACCCTATGAGGCGGGAACTTGGAAAAGCCAGTCCTAGGACTTTGCATTTCTGAATTGCATACCACACCGGGGACAGTCTCGGCAGACACAAAGCCACCACTCACCCGAAACCCGCACGGTCATCACTGCCCTTCCAGTGAGCCGGGCCTTGAGAGGCTCGGGCAAAGTGAAAAACACGAGGAGACTTTGTAATAACGATGCAGAAACAGGAGCCTTCAGGGTTGGGTTTTTGTTTTTGTCTTCTTGCAGCCTCGGGGAAAACAGCTGGGATCTGACTCAGCACCTGTTCTCCCAGCCTCACCTGGAGGGGGCTCTGCCTCTGTCTACCTGGGTTCCTCGTCTGCAAAATGGGCAGGCAACCTTACGTGGGGCGGGCTTTCGGGGGCCAAAGTTTATATGCCAGCAGCGCTGTCCTCCCCATGATCCAGTGCCAGGTGCCAGGGCTCTGCGGGGCCAAGGCCTGCGCCCCGCCCATGCCTCCCTCCAGGAGGCCCTCGGACAGGTGAGCGGAGCCACCCTGTCAGGTTAGGGCGCCCCCTGCTGCCCCGGCCTCCTCTTCTCCAGTAAACGTTCTACTCCCCCCTGCACTGCAGACTCGCCCTGGCCACCTCCTTGGGCTGGACCCAGGGAGTCCCTTTGCCCTGGAATGGCCCCAAGGCCTCCATAGACACCACGCAACAGGGCCCCCACCTTGCCCGCTGTCCCCACACCCAGCAGCAGCTTGAGACGGACAAGCCCGCGACTCTGCTGTGATGGACCCAGGACGGGTCCCACAGCTGGTTTTTGTCTCCAGCACACGCTCACTCACGCTCACACACGCACACACACTAAGGCGTGGCCTTGCTGGGTAACCGACCGTCACCAGCCCCACAGCAGCCTGCACCTCACACGCACACACGCGCATGCACACACGCACACGCGTGCACTGCCTGTCCTGTCAGCCTGGCACAGACCACGGCGGCTCACCTGCCCTCTGGGCCTGGCAGCCTGGGTCCCCACTCAGCAGCAGCAGCGCCCAGAGAAGGCAGGTCCCCGCGTCCCCTCGCAGGCTGGCCATGGCTCTCCCGGGCCTGGGGACAGGCATTTCTCGGCCAGGAAGACACAGTCAGGTCCTACTGGAACATGTCCTGTGTGAAGAAAGACACACGTTGGAGGAGGCCCTGGAGCTGAGAAGCCGCATGAGGCAACTCTGGGCCCAGGTGGGGCCTCCCCCAGACCCGGCCTCCCAGCGCCTCTCAGCGGAACCCACGCTGCTCAGCCAACAGTGTGACCCCCTCTCTGATGCCATCAGCCCCCAGCCACCTGCTGCCAGGCCTAAGGCTGCCCCTGTGGTGCCAGCGCAGTGCTCAGATCCTATTTTCCACATTTGGACACTCAATAGGCTGATTGTTGGTATGTTCCAAGAGGACATCTTTCCCCTGTCCTTGCCTGTGTTGAGTTCTTCCTTAGGGCAGGGGTGTAGACAACACTTAGGGCAGGTGTGTGGACAACACTTAGGGCAGGTGTGTAGACAACACTTAGGGTGGCACTGAGTTTCCAAAGGATCCTGATGGGAATCGTCAAACGGCCTGGTTTCCGCTGCCTGCAGCAGTGTAGGAGAGGTCCCCACGCCCTTGAACCCCACACCCGGCAGTGTAGGAGAGCTCCCTGCACCCTCACACCCCACACCCCACACCCGGCAGTGTAGGAGAGCTCCCTGCACCCTGCACCCTGCACCCCACACCCGGCAGTGTAGGAGAGCTCCCCGCGCCCTCGAACCCCACACCCGGCAGTGTAGGAGAGCTCCCCACGCCCTCGAACCCCACACCCGGCAGTGTAGGAGAGCTCCCTGCACCCCACACCCGGCAGTGTAGGAGAGCTCCCCGCGCCCTCGAACCCCACACCCGGCAGTGTAGGAGAGCTCCCTGCACCCCACACCCGGCAGTGTAGGAGAGCTCCCTGCACCCCACACCCGGCAGTGTAGGAGAGCTCCCTGCACCCTCACACCCTCACACCCCACACCCGGCAGTGTAGGAGAGCACCCTGCACCCCACACCCGGCAGCATATCCTGTGACCATGCTCACACTCTGCCAAGTCAACAGGACAGACATTGCTTCTGCTCCCTATGCCTTTCTTTGATCCAGGAGGTTTATTAGCTGAGTCTATTTTCCCTTATTCCGTATTTTATGTTCATGCCCCTTTCACAAAGTAGTTATTATTCATTCAAGATCCAGGCATGGGAAAAGAGCTTAGAGAGTTCACTGTGGATTTATTCACTTAACGGATATTTGGCAGTGCCCTCCTGTGCCAGGGGCCGAGGGCCGGCAGATGACTGACCCTGCTGCACCCTGGAGGGCACTCGGGGACCCCTGGGAGCCAGGTGAGACTCCAGCCAGAGGAAGGTAGGACAAGACAAGCCCAAGTGGAGGAAAGCGCAGGGTTTGTGGGAGCACTGGGTGGGGAGTGGGGGTCACATGATCCTTTCAGGGGAAGGTCTGGCTTCCGGGACTAGCACCAAAGCCGAGTTTGGAGGGCTTTCCTTGTTTCATGCCCTTCCTCCACCTTCAAAGCCAGGAAGGGCCCATCAAGCCTTTCTTAGGTTGCAGCTTTCTGATTCTGACTTGTAAGGACCCTTTGATTACACTGAGCCCACCCAGACACTCTAGGTTAATCTTCCTATTTAAAGTCAGATTGGTGGCCATCTGCATCCCACCTGTAACCTTATTCTACCTCGCCACGTAAAATAACACGTACGCAGAGACTGCGGTATGCACACCTTTTTTTGTGAGTGCAATGACAAATATATCACAGGAATTTTACCATTTTAACCATTTTAAGTGTGCGATTTAGTGGCATTGATTACTTTGGGGACTTTTTAATTGCCCCAGACGGAAACTTTATAACCATTAAGCAGTAACAGGAGATATCTTTTCATTTATTTAGGTCTTAATTTCTTTCAATGACGATTTGTAGTTTTCAGTGTTTAAGTCTTGTGCCTCTGTGGTTAAATTTATTCCTGAGTTGTATGTTTATGTTATTCTTTGATGTTATCATGAATACAATTATTGTCTTAATTTCCCTTTTTTGATAATTTGCTGCTAGTATTCAGAAATGCAGTGGATTTTTGAGTGTTGATTTTGTATCCTGAAACTTTGCTAGTTTTATTTATTACTTATAACAGCTTTTTGTGGATGTTTTAGGGTTTTCTGCATGGAGGATCTTGTCATCTGCAAATAGAGATGATTTTACTTCTTCCTTTCCAAGTTGGATGCCTTTACTTTTTTCTTGCCTAATTGCTCTGGCTACAATCTCTTAGTCATGGTGTGAAAATTCTTTTTATACATTATTATACTTGGTTTGCTAATATTTTTTGAGGCTTTTTGCATCTATGTTCGTGAGGGATTTTTTAGTGGGATTTTTTAGTCTGTTATTTTCTTTTTCTTGGAACATCCTTGTTTGGTTTGGGGATTAGAGTAACGCTGGCTTCATGGACTGTGTTCAGAAATGTTCCCCATGCTTCTATATTCTGGACAAGGTTGTAAAGAACAGAATGACCTTCAACCCGGGAGCAAATGGAGAGGTCGTAGTAGATGCCACTGAATGGGGCGGGCCTGGGATCCTCATGCTCCAAAGGGGTATCCATGAGCATCTCCGCTCCCTAAAAGGAGGACGATCTCTACTCCACCAGGGGTGCAGTAGGGGTTGCAAAAAACAATTCTTGCAAAGCATGAAGGACAGATCCTGGCACGGACGAGATGCACAGTAAATGTGAGATTGTGGGCAGCCTGTTTCCCTACCCGGCCGGGCCCGTCCAGGCTTCAGCCCCCGCAAGCTGCAGTGGGCACCATCACTCCGTCTCTCATCACCAGCCCCCGAGCTCTTCCCCAGCTGGCATGAGGTAGGCCACTCCCTGTCCCTGCGAGGCAGAGTTCTGCCATTCGTCTCCAAAAGTCCAGCAATTAATTTACTAAGCTAAGTTCCTTCCACAAGCCAGCCCATCACCATAGTAACCAGCATTCCCTGTTCAGGGACCCAGAGGTGGGGGAAGAAAGACGCTGAGCAGAGAGCAATTTGGAGGGGGAAAATGAGATTTGGCACTCCGCTAGGGCAGCCTGGGCAGAGCGTGAGCTCGGTCTGACTCAGGGTCTGGCCGTTGCCCACGGGGGGAGGGGGCTGGGGGAACGAGGCACCACTGATATGTTGCTGGGGTGACGGGAGATGCTCCGGGCAGGAATCTGGCTGAGACATGAAAGCGTGGCATGACCGCGTCCAGACCACTGAGCCAGGTCCTTCTCCCACAGGCCAGTGCTGAGCCCAGTGCGTGTCTGCTGAGCCGTGTGCAGTGCCAGCCAAACATGCTGGTCAGGGACGGGCAGAGGGAGCTGGGTGGCTTCTGTCTCTGCAGGGCTGCCTGGGAAGAGCTGGAGGCCTGGCAGCGGATTCAACACTCAGCGCTATGTGACCCGACTCAGTACCAGACGCGTACTGAGCGCCTTCTGTATACCAGGCACTGGCCTAGGCATTGATTTCTCCTGGGGCAGCTAACACCGCGATGAAGCGTCTCAGTCAGAATCCCTGTGTTCGAATTCCAGTCCTGCCTCTTACGAGCTGTGCAAACCAGGGGAAGTCACTTAACCTCTCTGGGCCTCTGCTCTTTCACATATGCAGTGAGGAAGATGACACCTGTGTCACAGGCCATTGGGAGAACTGCGTCACTACTTGTAAAGAGCTTGGAGCAACGCCTGGCCACAGCAGAGCGGGGGGCGTACTGTTTTGGTCAGTTTCTAATCCTTTGTCTCCTCACCTACAAATGGGAACAATAACCCCACTTCATAGATCTTTAGAGGGGATTATGTGAGTCATCGGACGTGATGATTCTTCGTAAAGTAAAATGTGGACCGTTGTTGCCGTAATAAACAAGGAGGAGAGCCTTGTCGGTCTGAGTATTGAGAGAACTCGGCCATACAGGGGTCCTGGGAGCTCCGTTGTTTCAGTCCCCAATTGGGTCGTGCCCAGAGGCATATGTTACACACTGACTCCAGGCACAAGCCATTAGATGCTTGCTTTCCTATGCTCTGGTCGAGGGAGAGACAAGCACCGAGCTCAGGCCTGGGAGCTCAGGGAAGGCTTCCTGGAGGCGGCGATGTCTGAGCTGAGCCTGGAAAGACGGGGGGGGTGTGGGCAGGAAGACAAGGGTTGCGGCCCCCAGGAGCAGCTGGCCTCCCTCCCGTATCATTCTCGGCTTGAGCAAGCTCCGTGCTTGGAGGAGGGGATGGAAGGGACGGCGAAAGTTCAGGCTGGAGCGGGTGGCAGGGATTTGTGGAGGAAGGCATTCGAGTTTGAGGAAAGAACCTTAAAAGAGGTGGTCCGGGGACTTGCGTGATGACCCAGGGAAGGGGTCAGGCCAGTGAACGTCAGCACGCCTCTCCTGTGATCTGGGGATCCCTGTTGAGAAGGGCGGATTGACCAGATGACCTTGAGGATGGCGGTGCAGGGTCCAGAGAGAGTGCCCTGTCCTAGGACGGCCTCTTCCTAGATCCCATGACACCGTGAGTGGCGGAGAGCAGAGGGACAGAGAGAGAAGGCTGGGGGAGCCCCGAATTACAGTCTGCACATCCGGGAGCCAGTCACTGGGGGTTCGGAAATAATACGTTCGGGCTGAACATACCGAGAGAGTTGCAGGCACTGGAAGACAGCCAAGCAGGGAAGCTAAAGGAAGGTAGACATTCGGGTCTAGAGCTCAGAGGGGAAATCGGGAAAGGGCAGAGGGAACAGAAGACAGCGCTCGGGGTATTGTTATGCGGGCAAGGTGGTCCTGCTAAGGAGCAAAACCATCCGCGTCCGGTCCTCTCCACTCAGACTTTCCAGGAGGTCGAAGGAGCCAGCATAAGCCGGACCCTGCCGACCAGGCTGTGATGGAAGAAGCTGAGCGGGGGGAGAACGTGTGGTCCCAACCTCCTCCTCTGTGCGGCGGGATTAAAAATACTGCCTCTCGGCTATTTTTTCCTAAGCAGCAGCCAGGTGCCAGCTGGTTCCCAGTTGCTAAAAACTGTTAATGGAACTCAAGCCGCATCTGTCTATTCTTGAAGCAATGAAGACTCTTT